AGAAGGCAGAATATAACAGAGAGGAAGAACTCCAGCTGCCAGCAAAGAAAACCACCTTACGTTATTCCATTACGATATAAATAAGCAAGGCCGGGGCACTAGTTCAAAGAAAAACTTACCAAGTACGACAACCGGAGCCAGGGCTGGCGATGAAAGGACTCGTCGAACTCGTTCTCACGTGAACGTGCTCCAGACAACTTCTCTTCGCCTGAATAACTCTAATCGGTGCTCGATGTCGGGATCCCTCGGTGCTCTGGATAGCTGACCTGACAAACAAAAAAAAACAAACAAAGAATCAAAAAACCAGTCAAGCAAGACAAAGCGAGTATAGCTAACGAACGCCTAAGCCTAGCTAAACAACCATTGCCTGCGAACTCGGGCGGCAGCCGGGAGAAGCCGAAGCTTCCGACGGATGCTTCGTTAACCCGGAATTTGAATCCAGTTTTCTCCCAACTGTAGTCCTTCTCCGGACTCTCCTCGATGAACCGCCGGTTTGATCTCGGGAACGCGTAGAAAGTCCCTGGACGACGGGCGTTGTATTTGACGGAGAAAAACGCTCTCAGATCCGAGTAGCGAAAGATAACGTTCTCCTCTCGGGCCCGCACGGCACATCCGACGATGGCCCGAACCAGGTTCGGGCACATCTGTGGGAAAGCCAGCCGCAGGTCCGCTAGCACTTCGAGGACAAACCGAGGGATTGAGAAGAACAGCCCGTAATCCCGGAAGTATGTTGCAAACGCGCAACAGAAGCCGGCTCTACATTCGCCAGAGTCTCCGCTGACGTCAAGACCGCCAGCTCCACCCCCTCAGGGATCTCGCATTCTCGACTGAAGTCGTCGAGAGTCTTCTGGTCGTGGATTTTGGAGGGACCCGGGACAACGGCGGCCCTCCCGGAACTCTCTCCCTTGATTTTTACGATCGCCGACATCAGAAAAGAAAGAGGGGAAACGGAGATTGAAGACGCTAAACCCAGAAAACTCGAAAACAAAGATCAAAGTTCTTTCAGAAAACAAGAGAGAACTTAGCAAACAATCTCTAAAAGGAAGACGGTGAATGGAAGTTGCAGAAAATAAAAGGAAGAAGAGAGAAGAAGTTACCTTTAATCAACGAACTGATGCGGTTAAAGAAGGAGTGGAGAAGGTGGACTTTATATCTGAGTAATTATTGCCTACCTTAGAGATCGCGGAGATTCTCACCACGCGCCAATCTCAACCGTTTGATCTCCCGATCTCAACCGTCGAATATTTGACCTCGACGATTTGACGCGCTGCAGAGCTCGGTTGAACGAGGCCGTCAGATCGACTTTCTCTCTCTCCATCTGGACCTTCCACGTCACCAAAGTTCAGTGAGAATCTTCTCGAGGGATGCACCTTTCCCTGGGAAGCTCGACCGCCGAAACAGAAAAGTAAATGATGATATTTACTCTGAATCCCAACCGTCCACCTGGACGAGATAATAATGAATCTATCTCCACACGCAAAGCTGCGACTTCAAGGTCGATTCTCGACCGCATGATCAACGAACTGTTCACCTTTCCAAGATCTGAACCGTTGATCTCGAATGATTATCTGACTCTATGACGTCAGCGTTATCAAACACAATATCTTTCAAAAGTCACATCTTACCGCCCATTAAAACTCGAGCTCGCTCTCGTTAATGGATTAGGGGGCAATTGTTGGAGCTGGATTTAGCAGCCTAAATCAGGCCCACCCAAGCCCAAAGGACATATCCAAATTAAGCCAAATTGATTGTGCTTTGACCCTACGGCCCTGACCCATTCAGCTCTCGACTATCCAATTTTGAACAACAAGACGTTCCGTTCGACGAGGTCCAGCTCCAGCTCGGCCAAATCCCAAGAAACAAGGAAGGATCCGAGCCGAGTCAAAGCATATTCTCGCCAGTTCCAAACGAGTCTGAAGATCGCGGAGGAAGCTGCTGCACGTGGCGAGATTTCTGGCTGAAGCCGCTGCATGTGGCCGAGATACGCGCTGGAATTCGAAATTCGACGAGGCGAGCTATATAAAGGAGATAAAAGGCTTAGTTTAGAAGACCTTCGGCTTGATCTTTTTCTACACTTTTACATCCGAAAACTCTGTAACTGCTCCCAGAGCTCTTTTCAGTTCATTTCTTCGATAGAGATCTTTGTAACCGTTTTATTCAACCGATTAATACAAAATCCTTATTTCAGTTAGTGCTTGCTTATACAGTCAATTTGTTTGAGAGAATATAACCTTTGATTCTCCTTAAGTTTTTTTCCTTACACATAAATTTCTGAATGTAGATTTCTATATCCACAATATATTTTAGTACAAAAAGTCGATGAAATTGTGAAATGGCAATTTCCATAATTACACTGAAAATAAGTTTTCAGGACAAATATAACAGGGAAGCTGAAATTTTTCCACCTCTAACATTTTTTATTTGAGTTTTCCGATTTTACCTTTTAGGAAAGTCTTCCTAAAATGTTTTTTTCTGTAAATATTGCGTGATTTTTTTAGGAAGGTCTTCCAAATACTAAAATTTAACATCGTTTCATATGGTTTTTGAAAGCTTTCCTAATTTTAAAGAATTTGCTGAATTGTGGAAGGGTTTTCTGAATTGTGGAAAGGCTTCCTGGAAGGGTTTTCTGAATTTGAATTATATAAATTAACAAAAATAATAATCAATTATACGATTTACGAAGTCATTCCTAAATACATGTAATGGCTTCCTTAATTTATATATTTTAGGAAAGTCTTCCTAAAAATTTAGATTATCTTCCTAAATTTGTGTTCATCTCCTTCCTTACATCTGCGACATTCAAACCCTAATTTCCGCAGATTTTTTTTTTTACCATTGTTGCTGTTTTAGCTCGGGTTTCTTGACATTTTCACCCAATTATATCAAATCTATCTATCATTATATGATTTTGAGCTTTAAATTCTGAAATCACTTTCCCATTAAAAATCTCAAAGATCTAAGAGATTTACAATCATAATTCACAATCAAATGAGAACATAGATCCTAAACAAAACAAATAATTCGATTTTCAGATCAGTCTTGGCCATTGATACATTTGTTTGTACATTATTTTTCTTCTCTTTTTATTAACTAATGTTTTGTCTAACTAAGATTAATATGGTACAAAATATTATGGAAGAAATTTTGTAAAGTATTAGTGTATATATAGAACAAAAACTTAGATAAGGTGTATTTGAGAGAATTTCTCATTGTTAAAAAGATATATGTTTTTCAATTTAAATAAAAATAAAAAATGAAAACGTGTTCCCTACATTTTACATTCGAATGAATTTATGAATTGTTGTGTGAAGAAAATCTTAGAAACTGCTCGTGTACTACTTTATCATTATAACGCTTTAATACAAATGGATTTTACAATTAAATGCAAAACGCGTATAATCTTGTGCATAATTTTGTGACAACCAATCAAATTGTTCAGTGAGATTACCGACAGTTTGCGATGAATTGATTAGTGAATATATAAATAAAAGGGAGAAATGAGAAATAATCCAAGAAACACGTGGCAGATCTAAAAGTATAATTCTCTAGGGATACTTTAGTATATACGGACAGGCCACGTCGTGTCCTAAAGCCTTCTCCCCTCTATAATAATATCAATCATCTCTATCTGCTTCGACTCTCAACATACAGCAGAGAGTGAAAACAAAAATTAATAAACACAGCAAAATAAAATGGCGACGCTTAAGGTTTCTGCTTCTGTTCCTTCTCCATCTGATGATGCTGAGCAACTGAGAACCGCTTTTGAAGGTACTATGCGTGTTACTCTGTTTTGTTGATCTCTTGTGTACCAGATCAGTGAAAAAAATGATGGTATCTTGTTGTCTGTGATTTTGATCGATAATTGTTTGATGAATTTTGATGTTTGATGAATTTTGATGTGGATCAGGTTTAGTTTTTTGGATGTTGGTAGTGTTTCGATCATCTGTTTGATGGGTTTAGTTGTAGATCAAGTTTGGTTATTAGATGTCTTGTTGGTAGTGTTTTACGATCATCATCTTCATATGCTTGATGGTGTTGATATAGATCGAGCTTGTTTCTTTCAATGATCTCGCTTCTGTGTTGGATCTAGAAGATTTTGATCCTTCTTAAATTCTCATTTCTCTGATCTGTATTGAACTTTTGAATATAATCTGATCACGTTGATATGACAATGATTCATTCACAAGATCTAGATTGATCGTACTGATTCTCATAGTTATAGATCTAAAATGTAGTTCTGATGTGGATGACCAGTTTTAGTATAATACTCAGATCTTGACACTGTACTTTAATAATGATCGTCTCTTTGATCGCTTTTGTTTGATCTTGGATCTGATGTGTGTGACTTTCTTGGATCTGACAATTGGCTTTTTTGAATCCGATTCGTTGCTTTTTTTCAGGATGGGGTACTAACGAGGACTTGATCATATCAATCTTGGCTCACAGAAGCGCTGAACAGAGGAAGCTGATCAGGCAAACATACCATGAAACATTTGGAGAAGACCTTCTCAAGACTCTTGACAAAGAACTCTCCAACGACTTCGAGGTCTGGTTTTTCGAAATTCTGAAACTTTATTGATAAATTTGTGTGTTTAAGTAGGCCTGCTACTTTTTTCCGAATTGAACCCTAGATATTCAGATTTGGTTTTGGTTCCGTTACCTAAGTGGAACCGGTCGACAACATTTCAAAATTGATTTGGTTATTAGTTCGGTTCGGTTTGGAACCGATCCGATCAGTTAACCATTTTTAATGAAAATTATACTAAACTATACCGCATTATACCAAATTTTTAAAAAATATTAATGAAATTGATCTGAATTAACGTGTTTTAATGGAGTTTAACCGAAATTAAACCAAAAACCCAAAAAAATCGGTTAAACCAACCAGAACCGAATCATAATTTAATTAGGTTAATTTTGGTAAAAATTTCTCAAACCGAACTAATCGAAACCTCGCATACCTAGTTTTTAAGTTATGTGTTCTTAATACGTTTTCCTTCATGGTGCAGAGAGCCATCTTGCTCTGGACTCTTGAACCAGGTGAGCGCGACGCCTTGTTGGCTAATGAAGCAACCAAAAGATGGACTTCAAGCAACCAAGTGCTTATGGAAGTAGCCTGCACAAGGAGCTCAACGCAGCTTCTTCACGCTAGGCAAGCTTACCATGCTCGCTACAAGAAGTCCCTTGAAGAGGATGTTGCTCACCACACCACCGGTGACTTCAGAAAGGTAATAATAACACATTATCAAAAATTAAGCTCCATTAGAGATGCTTTTAGTCTTCAAGATTCTTATGACAATGTTAAGTTTTTGAAACATTCATTGAGTTTGTGTGTTTCTTCTGCAGCTTTTGGTTTCTCTTGTTACCTCATACAGGTACGAAGGAGACGAGGTGAACATGACATTGGCAAAGCATGAAGCTAAGTTGATCCATGAGAAAATCAAGGACAAGCAATACAACGATGAGGACATTCTTAGGATTTTGTCCACAAGGAGCAAAGCACAGATCAATGCTACTTTCAATCGTTACCAAGATGATCACGGCGAGGAAATCCTCAAGGTGAATACTAAACTGTTTCTTCAATTTAAGAGTCTATGCTTCTTGGATTTATAATAATGCGAAACTGTTCCCTTTTGTTATCTTATAGAGCCTCGAGGAAGGAGATGAAGATGACAAGTTCCTTGGACTGTTGAGGTCAACGATTCAGTGTTTGACAAGGCCAGAGCTTTACTTTGTGGATGTTCTTCGTTCTGCAATCAACAAAACCGGAACAGACGAAGGAGCTCTCACTAGAATTGTTACCACAAGAGCTGAGATTGACTTGAAGGTCATTGGAGAGGAGTATCAGCGCAGAAACAGCATTCCTTTGGAGAAAGCCATTACCAAAGACACTCGTGGAGATTACGAGAAGATGCTTGTTGCACTTCTTGGTGAAGATGATGCTTGATGAAACCTCCTCCACAGAGAACATAAGTTTTCTATAGCTTCTGTTTTCTCTCATCTCTCTCCTCTCTCTTTCTCTGTTTGATGAGCTTGAGAATGTTTGGTTTTTCCTTTTTAAAAACCTTTGTTTGTTGTTTCTGTTGTGTGTTTTGATTTCTTAAATAATGCAAAAGAGACAGAACTGTGTTTTGATTTCCCAAATAATGCAAAAGAGAGACAGCGAGAACCATTGTGGTCTCTTAAATTATATATGTTGCTTACAAAGTTGTTGTAACTACAAAAAAGAGACCGAAAACACAAAAGAGCAGTGTTTTTAAAAAGCCTATCCGATCTTGAAACACAAAACAACAACATGCTTGCGTCACTTCTTCAAGATGGTCTTGAAGAATCAAAAGAGGCAAAGTCTATGTTAAGCCTAATCCGAATTTTTATACACAACAACAACAACAATTTTGCTACTAAGAAAACTCACTTCTTCACGATGATCTTCGAGAAGATCTTCTTACAATGAGGACTCGACTTTAGTAACCCATACCTACGTACTTTCTCCACCAAGCGCGTATGAACAAGACCCTGTTTCAACACCAATAACACGTGTCAGGTTATGTTTCTATAAGCTTTTTAGTTGTATAACTATGTTTGATTTGGGACAGACCTTGGTTTTAGTAAGAGCAGTTTGGATAACGTAGTTTCCAAAAGGATCCTGCATGAGATAATTAAAGTTTGGTACAGAGAGAAGCTCTCGGGCAATTTCAGCTCTACTCTCTGGATAATGCTTAAGACATTTTTCTACCACATGGCTACTAAACTTCTGAGTTGCTAACTCTGCGTAATGCATTCTAAAATGCTTCAGTAGCTTCACTGAACGTACGTTGTGATAAGAACAAAGGTATATTCCTATCGGTAACAAACCAAACCAATACGGATCCAAGCGTAGAAGCTTGCAAATCACGTCCTCTTGAATCTCACACTTGAGAATTAAGCCAATCACAAGATGCAACTACAAAGCATAAGACTACGCGATACAATCTCTCATCTATTAATACTATATGACCTCGTCTAACAGCTTCTCTTCTTTTTCTTCTGCAGGTGCCACCTCAGCATTTCCTCCCGAGATCATATCAATACCCCCCTTTTGCAGATCCAGCTTGTCCTCAAGCTGAAACACTCGCAATATCCATGTACTGCAGCGGAAAAGGCATTTATTCTTGTTCTGCACCCAGAAAACGTTTCATTGCAGAAACATGGAAAACTGCAGCAAATCGTACACCACCTGAAGCATCGTCCACTGCTAACTTTAGTCGCAAGACATAGAAGAGAGAGGGAATTGTTGCTGTAGCAGGAACAATCAACTGTAGCGGGAGTACTCTCCAATACTGCACCAACTCTCGATGGTGAATGAGATCCGCAACTGATAAGTACACAGAAGATAGAGTTGATTGCTGCTGTAACAGGACGCTTCAACTGATATGCAAAAGCCGTCATAATCTCCAGTACTGTACACAATCTCAGCATTAACACTAGCAATGTACCAGCTGCAAATGTCGTGGCTTCTCCTTTTGTACCAACAGTCTTGTTCCTGTGCTGTTGAATTAAAGCTTGTAGAACTTGTAACATTGTTCTCATCTCAAAGTTCCTTTCCCAGCTAACTCCATATTGCTGATAATGCAATCCCGAGTCTCCCAAAAGGATAATGTTCTGCAGATTTTTATTTCTCCAGCAAGGCCATACAGAAAAATAGATGCTCCTGTCCAAATTTTAAGAGTCCAAGATTAGAAGGCTCCCTTTATAGATTCTCAAACGTACTTGGACGTGTAACAACAACATTTCTGCAGAAAACAACAAACTTTGACACTGTTGTGGCCACTTCTTCTTCTGCTGTCTAGTTCTTAGGTGCTCTCGTTGATGAGAAAGAACGGCAAAGACGTGGTCTGTATCAGCAAAAAGTGTGAAAACATGCAACATCTAAGTCATTTCGACATTCTGTTCACAGTCAATCCCACTGATTAACACATAGACCCACAGATTTCTCCCTAGAGAGGAGTCCATGTCAGCAATTCGGAATGACTGCAGCAGCACAGAAATATAACCCCCATATACCACCAGAAGATCTACATTCACAGAATCTGTAACAAGTTCCTTTGCAACCTCATCATCTCCAAAGTTAGATTGCCAGAAACGCATTACTGCAAAAAATTTCTGGTGCTGAGCTTTGTGTCCTTGTCGCAGCAAGAGTTTGAAGCTTCTTTTATAAGTTCTGACCACAAATCTCCTACCCATCATGTACTGCTTCCAATTATGAGTCTCTATTCTCATGTGGCACAACAACCTCACCACATATGCTTGTCTCCTCACCAATCCCATCAATCCAGACTCGTTAGGGAACTGAAAATTGATTAATGCAAACAATATTTTCTCTAAAACTTTATGCATTATCTCCATTATTCTCTCAGCATCCTTGGGAAATCCATCTTTCGCCAGCTGAGAATCTTCCTTTAACACCTTGTCTTTGTATTTAAATTTCCATGACTTTGGAAACTTGCTCTGTATACTTTGTTGCGTCTCTCTTCCAATTGCCAGACGTTATCGAACAGTTCGTATGCACAAAGTGTAGTTGTGAAACGTGTTGACTTTTCATAGTTCTCAGCCATGTCTTTGACACGTAAAACACCCATTCTCTCCATTTGTTGAGCTGCTGGCGGTTCTTCGTGAAAGATCCATACTACTTCATGAAGATCTTCAAATATTAGATTCTCAACCTTCTTCACCCAGCCATTCTGATTCTCAGCTACTGTCTTTGTTCTGAGAGAACCTAACTCATTCTTGCTACGGCAAAGTTCCAAATCAGAGACTGATACCTGAAGAACCGCCTCAATTGCGTTACATGATTCATTGCCCATGAGTGATTCTCTGCTCAGAATTGATTTCCTACGATGAACCACATCAAACTCCAAGATTGAGTCTGTTTCCATTGATTCCTCCGCCTGAGTTTCTTTCTCATGATTCGATTCACTTGCACCGGAAACATTCCACTCCTCTGTATCATGAGTGGAGTCGTTCTTCTGAAACGAATCTGCCTCTGGTTCGAGAGATTTCCTCGCCACGGTTTTGGTCTCCTGAATCGAGTCTCCGACATTCATAACCTCTGCTTCAATCGAAACCGATTCCCGTGATTTCATCAAATCCATGAATTCTTGGAGCTGTTGGTCACGCTCGGTCTGTAATCGTACTGCCTCTGGATCATCTTTGTTGCCAAACATCATCAACAAATCGTCCCTCAATCGTTCCCAGCTTTGAAAAGGAAACAGCGTTTGGATCGTTTGAAACCATTCTTGAGCTTCACCTTCCATAAAACTCTGTGCAAGATCCAATTTCTCCCACTCCGAACACCCATAGAGCCCAAAATCAATCTCAAGCCATAAAAACCAATTCCTCGGATCACCACCTTTGAATATCGGAAAAGATTTGCCGTCTTCGTTCGCCGTCTCTTGTGGATTCATTGCCCCTGGTTGCAACTGGGACATGATGGAGTCTAATTTATCTTCCAAATCCTGGAATCGCCTAAAAGACTCCTTCTCCAGATCGTCGACTCTTCTACAAGATGTCTCCTCCATCTTAACTTGTGAAATAATCGCAGACTGTAGCGATTTCGCCGATGAATCCAGTGTCACCAGAGGATTCACTTCGTCACCTTGAGATTTCTTCATCGTTTGAACTTAATTCGGCATCGCTTCTTCCAGATTTTGATTCTTTGCTCCGATCTTCGTGATTGCTCGATCCAGAACGCTCACGAACGCACCAATTTGATAAGAACAAAGGTATATTCCTATCGGTAACAAACCAAACCAATACGGATCCAAGCGTACAAGTTTGCAAATCACGTCCTCTTGAATCTCACACTTGAGAAACAAGCTAATCACAAGATGCAACTACAAAGCATAAGACTACTCGATACAATCTCTCATCTATTTATACTATATGACCTCGTCTAGCAGCTTCTCTTCTTTTTCTTCTGCAGTGCCACCTCAGCATTTCCTCCCGAGATCATATCACGTTGTTCTCTATTAGGCACTGCACCACGAAGTTTCTGCATGATTCCATCAACCATAAGGACTGTTTCATACTATTATTACAAATTATAGAGTCTAGAGTCTGAGATTGAATTTACCCGAAAGGATCCTGAGAGAGGTGAAGTGCGTCTCTGGATATCTTGATAACAAGGTTTTTACTCAGCTGTTTAAATCAATCAAAGCCTAAAGCACAATATAGTTGTAGTATAGGTGCAAGATGTGTCAATCTAGCTCAGGTTGATGAAAGAACACTAAGAATGCAAGAGTTAAATAAATGTAAGTGAAATCGGATAAATAGAGGAGAAAATCAGTAAAAACTAAATGCAACAACTAAATAACCACAAAAACTATTTTAAATTCCTATTGATGGGTTAAACAACTACTAGATGACTTCTAAGAATTTAAAATACTAGACTACTAGTTTTTAAAATTCTAAAGCTGAAGACAGACAGACAAAGAAAGATCTAACAACCTAGGATGATTTTTAAGAAACTAAGAATAAAGATGCAAACTTTAGAACTAGGAAATTATAACTTTAAGTTTTTAAATACTAAAAGAGGATTCAAGGTTGAGGGTCATGCTTAAGAGGTTCAAAATTCAAACTTTGGGTTTTGAAAACATAGATATACACTTTTGAATGCTATCTCTAAGCCTTGAGAAGCTAAACTAGATTTATCCATGGCGTTTGGTATAAATCCTTTCCTCAACCCTTCCTCATAACCTATGGCGTGTGGTGGAAAGAAAGATTGAAGAACATGAAGCATAAATCTCAAATAATGGCTTAACTAGCTCCCTAAGCATCCATGACGTTTGGGAAAGGATGAGTTAGTCTCTTGGATTTGGTTTTAAGGGATCTCCTGAATCCTGCTAAGGTAAGGAAACCCCTGAGATCAAAAAGATCTTTTCCAAGACTCTCTAGGCATTAAAACCCCCAAATCCAAGAAGAGATTAAGTTAAGAACAAGAAAAAGACCAAAGCTTAAACCTTTAAAACCTCTTAATCACCTCAACCTTAAACCCATAGATGACTACTCACTACTCATGATTAAAACACACGAAAATGCAAAGGAAGAAAAGATGAGCACGATTAAAACGATTAAAGAAGACAGATTAAGAGAAATGCTTAAGATTAAAACTAGATTAAGGCTCTACAAAGATGAAAAGCTTGAAAACATAAAACAATGGCAGCTATTCTAAAGCATAAACATAAAAGATAGGAGACAAAGTGTAAGATATCGGATGGCTCTCTTTTGTTGCTCCAAAAATAGGGTAAAACCAAAAAATGGTCCCCTCACTAAACTCCAAAAGTGAGCTGTCCAGATAAGATTTTAGAGATCGATTTGAGCAGTCGATCTCATACTCGATCGTCTTCGTACAACATCTTCTCTCGCTCGATCTTCGGGTCGATTTGATAGGTTGGATTGAACACTTTTCTCGATCTTCTGGTCGATCCTCGGACGATCGAGTCGTGAGCTTGATCTGGCTCTTGTTCTTCCTGGGCTTAGTTCCGTGTTCGTACTCACGTTCGATCACCTTGGTCGATCTTGACCTCAATCATCTTCCTTGAAACGACCTGAGTGTCTCGATCTTGTGGTCGATCTCGTCTAGATCAACCTGCCTAGCTCGATCCGCCTCTCGATCTTGGTTCTTTCGCTGCATGGCTGAGTTCCTCCACGTATCCATAGGCTCCCTTTCGATCCTTAGCATGGCCACACACCCTCCATAGCTCCAGTGTATCCAAAACAACCTGAATATGATGCAAGAATGCAAGAAATATGCAAAATGCCAATGCAAAGTGTTCTAGGACCTAAAATGTGTTAAATGGTGCAAACTAGCCTATTATGAGAGATGTATGCATGAAAACTACTCTAAATGCATGCTAAATATGCGAAATATATGAGTATATCAACTCCCCCAAACTTGCATTTAGCTTGCCCTCAAACAAACAAAATTCAAGAAAGGAAGAGAGGTTAAAAGGTGGGAGCTCAAATTTTCAAAAGTGTTTAAGCAAATGAATCAACTCAATGTTCCTAGTTCTCAATTCTAAGATGCAGCACACAAACTCATACTCCAAAGAACTTAGCCATACTCATCACATATTGAATCTCAAATCATGACTCTCCTATTCCAAACAATCCAAGAATCCTAACCTTTAACATTCAATTAAGATCAAACCGTGAATCACACTTATGCATTTAAAACCGAATACATTTGGCTAGGGACAAGGTCATGAGACAAAAATGATCTCATTCAAGTGGGTAATTCAAGCAATGGTTTATCTCAAAAAGGGCTGAACTTATGCACAATGCTAAAGGTAAAGGCAATTGATGCATACATGACTAGACTCTCATCTACCCATATACACTAACAATGATCCTAATCCCTCTCTCATTCATTTTTTTTTCTTTTTTCAAGTTCACTCACCCTCTAGAGACTACCCACAACAACAAGGCAAGACGCCTAGCATAACACAAATAAACACATCATTCAACCTTTCTATAGCTAGTGGAATGGTCATATATATACTTAGCTCTTTTCTTTTCTTGATAGCTCTCTTTTCATATTTTTTTTTTCTTTTTACTTGGCATTTTGGCTCTTTTTTTCTCCTTTTTTTTTATTTTATTTTTGAGAGCTATCTTCTTTTCTTTTGAACTTGAGCTTTTATTACAATGCAAGACCATCCACTTAAAACTTTGAATCCCTTATTATTCAAATTCCAAACAACAACTCTTTTCAAAAACCGAAACAAATAAGCAAAATCAATCAACACCCATGAATTCTCACCCCCAAACTTAAGCCTAAAACTAGCTTCAATATGCAAAGCTAGCATCAATATGAGAGCCTAATCATGTCGCCTAAACCTAACACTTTCTGCCAAGTTCAACCGAAAATAAAAGGCCTCACAATATGATATCACACACGAAATTTGGCTTGAAAGGAGGGTAAAGGTTAAGGTGAGGAGTTCTATTTAGGCTCACAAAAAAGTGGTGAAAGGGATAAGAAAGCCTGAATATGTATATGTAATCCATATTCTTTCTCAAATGCACAAGTATGATAATTCAAAATTCAAGTTAAGGTTTCACTTGGTAGGAAAGGATTCAATTCATATTTTTTCAACTTAAGCCACGAAAATCAAAACAAATGATCCAAATATGGTTAGAGCTTACTTTCAAAATTTGAATAAAGCATCAAAGAACTACTAACTAGGGCCTTGAACCAATTCATGAGCTTAAAACACTTTACAAGGAAAAGTTTTGCCCCTTATGAAAATGCAAACAACCTAAATGTGTAAAATTCTAGACTCAATCCTACAATATTTGACAATGCAAATGCAAGCTACATGATTTTTTTTGAAATTTTTGAAAAATTTGAAAACTTCTATGATTTTTTTGTATTTTTCTATGCACTTAGATGAATGCAATGCATGAAGACTCAAGGATGATAACATAAAATAAGATCCAAATAAAAAACATGTCAAAACACACACTCTCCCCCAAACTTGAATGACACCGTCTCGGTGTCAAACAAATTGAAGAGGAGATAAAAAAACACAAAGCAAAAATTAAATAAAAAGGCATGATATTTACAAGGGTTTGTGTTTTGGTACCTCGGAGCTAGGCATGACTAGAGCTTGAGGTTGCTCCAGTCCTCCTGCTCTTTCTAGGAGTGTCGTGAAGGATCTCCTTGTCCTTGCCCTTGCTCGTGCCTTCATGTAGAGAACGGCGGCTAGCTTGATCACTTCCTTGAGGCTCACGGATCTCCACTCCTCCGGTTGATCTCCTCCTTTTCTCCAGTTGGTCAACCTTATCACTCGAAGAATCCTCAGATGAGCTTCCTTGTAGGGCTTTGATCTTCTTGGCCAGCTTCTTGATCATCTTCCCTTGCCACTTGTTGACCTTGCGCTGAATCTCTACAACCGAGGCAAGGAACTTTTCAGCTTTTGTTCGCGGCTCATAGTCTAGCTTGGGGAGATCAAAGCTTAGTGGCATCTCAGAATCTGAGGGGGGCGACTATGTTAGTGAACGAGGCAGCTGAGGTGGTGCTGCTGCGGTTCCAAGAGGTGCGAAGCATTCTTCATCGCTCGGTAGGAACTCAATCGTGCCGACGCTTTCTAAGTGTGTCTCATCAGGATTTGGTAGGATGCAAACCTTCTTCTCATGATCACTGTTGTAGAACAAGTAAGCATAGAAACCTGGAGCTGGAGTAGGCCCCAAGGAATCAGTGTTGCGTATGTAGGTCTCATCCATGTAAGCTCTCTCCGCGCAAGGCTCAAACTCAGAAAGAGGTACTCCCGCTTGTATGAACATTGGTGTGAGGAAGCCTCCTATGAGTGCAGAGCTCGCCTTACACCTTAACACCCAAGCTTTGTACTTGACCAAAGAAGAAGCCAAGATACAACCGTAGTTGACGTCTTCTCCAAGTTCATCCTCCATTGGCTCATCATTCTCCTTGGCATCGCATATAACCTTCTTAACCCCTTGGAAGAGGAAACAGAGCTCGTTCTTGGTAACCGTTGGAGCCACAGATCGTCCACTGAAGGTGTTGGCTAGTAGCTTGAGGGCGTATCTCAGCACAGGATTGTGCACCTTCTTGATCTTTGCTGTGTTGGCCTTGTAGTCC